AAATTAAGAAAAAAGATGAAAGAGAAATAGAAAGAAAATTATACTTGCACAAAAGGTAAAATGTCAGCTGTTTTAATTTCGTCGTGATGGCTGAGACCTAAAGGAGATATTTGATTAATTAGAATTAATCCAAAGAAAAATGTTAATAGTGAGTAGGGTAAACTTAAGAACAAAAATAAAATATACCATTGTTAAAGACCCATATTGGTAATGCACCAAGATCCTCAGCTAACTGCTCATGGAACAAAAGATTAGTTTTACAATTAATGGGGAAAACATAAGATATTTTAGAAATTAAGGATAATTAATACTTACTTGGAGGCCCTCAAAATAACCCAATCCATCATCAGTCCAATAATTCCAAATATCATTTAAGTGTCCCGGTCTATCCTCCCATGGTCCAACCGTTTCTTTCCACCGAAATGCGTTTTTAAGATAATCTCCTTCAACAAAACAACCACCTATATATAATGCATGCATGCAACAGTTAGGAGAAAAAAAAACAATAGTGTTATGTACGTCTTAGACGAACTATTTAATAATTACATACGTAAATTCTCGGAAAATAGATGGATACTACACACTTTCCAATAAAGTGGGTAAAAATAGTTTACCGAAAGAAAAATAAAAGGAAAAAGAAGTGGGTAAAAATAATATAAAATAAACTTATAATTAACTTTGACACATACCGGGGAATCTAAGAAATCTTGGCTTCAAATCTGCTACCATTTGAAAAAGGTCCTTTCGGAAACCATTACCCTGTGCCAAGAGAATATTAATGAATTGATGCTCTTAAATGGAAGGAACAAAAAAAAAAAAAAAATTTAAAAAAAAATGCATGAATTGGCAACATTCCTACGTGCATACCATATAAGTGTCCATGGGCATAGCAGACACTTGATCTAACCATACAACCCCTCTAGTCTTTGTTGTTATTTGAAGGCTTGAATTATGATTTGTAGCCCTTGCTTTCAGTATAGTCTCCATCCTTCTCCACTCTGAAACGTATTGTCCAAAGGCCCTGCCAACATTCATCAATTAGTAATCAATTACTTATATATATACAATGTCAATGTCATGATCTCCAAAGGATGTTCTCCTCTTAATTACCTGATTTTTCTTGAAGCCAATTTTACACCATCATCAGATCCGACCAATGAAACTCTTAGATCAATTGCATCAAGTGCTTTGACGTAGAATACTACTTTATACTTCTTCCCTTTCTCAATATTCTGATTATAAATATTAGAAATGTTTAGAAATAAATTTTTAACTTTTTTTTTTTGGTCAAATTCATATGATGAAAGATATGATATGACATTACTCACCATGCCCCAATAACCAGGATTAGAGATACCAACGCCACCGGGAGGGCAATATAAGCGCCCTTGGCAAAGAACCTCCATACGTAATGCATTCTTATTGCGTTCAAAGCAAGAGGTACGATCAGTTGATACGAGTATAGAGGATTGGTCTCCAATAATTGACCATGGATAAATATTTGAGGAATCATTGGTGCCTCCAGCTTCGAATCCTGAAATATAAATATTTTTAATAAAACTTTTCTTTGAAATGTTGAAAGCTGATTGAGCAATATTACTGAAAAGACAACATGAAAACATGAGCAAGTGTTTAAGGATATGAAAATGATCGACCTCTATTGCTCACAAGCTCTGCCCACAATCCGCCAGCACCAGCATGATTGATCTCCTGCAAAATATTTTCAAGCAGTCCATCACTTTCTAAAATTTGAAATGTGTTCCAATTGCACTAACACACACACACACACTCTAATCAACAACAGGTAAACTCAAGATTGATCACATTATCCAAAAAAATGTAAAAAAATATAATAATTAATAATAACTTATAATTACCTCATAGAATACTCCAAAAAATGTGTCCGGAATTTGCCTTCCAGATCCTATGGAACCATCTACAACAAGTGTTGAGGTCAGGTTACCATCAGCATAGCATTGAAATATAAGAGAACACACTGCCAAAGAGTAAAGAAAAGTCTTATGAGAAGAAGAGGAAGACATTGTTTCTAATATCATCTGAACAATTTGATATTTCCTTTCATCTTTCATTTGTATATTTATAAAGGAAATAAGATAACATGAGATGAGGAGGATGACGTGTTAACAAACTATATTAAGATAATTAGTCTGCAGATAGGATAAGAGAACTCAACAGACTCTAATTTTAGATCAACTAACTTAAAATGTTCTAGTAACTTATTTCAACCTGCAGACACGATAAGAGAAAAGAAAATGGCTGTTTATGTCTTTTTTTGTTGTGTTTTTGAATTGTTTGTGTAATGTTATTACAGTTATCTTTTTAATAAATTTAAGAATGCACGAAACTAAGTTCTATATAGGAATCATATTTACGTCAATAATAAGATTAATTATTTTGAATTGATACGATTACTAAAATTGTTAAAACAATCAAATCCATTTCATTTCAACTTATCATGTATATCTAATTTATTAACTAAGTAATTTAATGTAGGATAATAACAAATTGAATAAGAGATTAAGAATGGAAAATAATATAGCTAGCCTAATAGGATGCACATTAGATAAATATTCTAATAAGATTATATTACACTGTACACTATATAATTTAGAATGGAGTAGAATATGGCCTAATAATAGGATGCACATTAGATAAATAATCTAATAAGATTATATTATACTATATATTATATAATTGAGAATTGAAAAGAATGATGTTGGTCTTTATCCATCCGCTTACCAAAAGAAAAAAAGATGGAAAAGAATATGGCCTGATAGGATCCACGTTATACAAATAATCTAATAAGAGTATATTATACTATATATTATATATTTGACGTAAACTAGATAATTAACAGGAGGAAAAATAAAGAAAAATATTCCTCGAAACAGACTTTTATCAAAAAAATTTAAAAGTTGTTCTTTTAACTTATTTATACATTAAATATTATTTTAAATTATTAAAAAATTAAATAGTTGTGATTTTAAAATAAAAATACATTTGACTGAAAATCCACTTTAAATTATTTTGTACGTTTACTTTAACAAATCTACGGAAACAAAGAAATTATTTACACATCTTTTCTTTTCAAACTATCTAAAATTAGAAGTCATTAATGGATAAATGTTGAAATTTTTTTAAAAGTGATCCGGACCCATACTAAGCATGTTGTCAACACTTATTTTTTCCCGACATTGTTTTTGTCTTTGATTATAATTACTCTCTTTTTTTTTTTACCAAAATTTTTATTAAAAAATAATTAAAAATATAGAAAAGTGTCACTGCTACAAATTATTTTCAATGATTTGTCGGTTTCCTTTGTATCTGTAAAGAACCTTGGGATACACCACCCCAAAAGCTAGCTCAAAGGGTGGGAGTGCCCAATGCCTTATAAACTCCACATTAGTTGGCTCATACAACCAATGTGGGACTATATATCTCAACACGCCCCCTCACACGAGAGCCCGCTAGGCTTGAAGGGTGGACAATGCACAGGCCCACCTACCTGTGCGAACAAAGAAATTCCACTTGAAAGAAAATGGGGGACAGTGAGAGGATCGAACCCGGGACACGAGGCTCTGATACCATGTAAAGAACCTTGGGATACACTACCCCAAAAGTTAACTCAAAGGGTGGGAGTGCCCAATGCCTTATAAACTCAACATTGGTTGCTCATACAACCAATGTGGGACTATATATCTCAACAGTATCAAAAGGCTACGTACAAGGCTGGGACATAAGGATGGGCTACACGCATCCAGGCTAGGATAAACATCAGCTTGACTGTTTAGCTGGAATGGAGACTCACAAGAAGAAAATTCTTGGAGCATACAAGAGGGAGAGGATCCTGCTCTTTAAGAGGAGCCGGATACTCAAGTCCAACATATCTGCTTGCGAAATACACGCAAAAGAGGACATGCACAACAGCACAAGGCCCAAGATTATCTTTGGGAATCAAGAAGCACAACATTTGTTGACATCTGATGAAGGAGATCTTGGAAGATATGGAAATGATATGATTTTAAGGGAGAAAACAAGAAAAAAGGAGAGATACCATATCAAAGACGGATTCTTTCCATCATGTGGGCTCAGTCGAAAAAATCAACTAAAGAAAAAGTTAGAGAAACAGCGTTCCCGGGTTCTATAAAATGTCAAGTCGTTAAAAGCAAAAAAGAAGAACAAAAGGAGGATGTTAGGTTTCAGGAACCTAAGAGAACAGAACAGAACCGAAAGAGAAAGGAAAAAAAATAGAATTTCTGTATGATATTGAATGAATGAATACAATTGATTATTACAAGTGTTATATACCCTTGAAGACTAACCCAATCGACACCTTCATGTATACGTGTGGCCTAACTAACTAACCACCTATTGATCACATGCAATTGAGTACACGTGTGAGTTAACTACTTAACCACCCACTACCCCACTTACTGATACAAGGGAAACACATTTATCAAGCTACAAAGTCAGTTAACACTGAGGAAGGTTTCCTACTCCTACTGGATCTTCTTATCCTAACATTGCCCTCTCCTTCAACAACAACCTTGTCCTCAAGGTTGATAGATGGATAGCATCGAAGCAAGTCTGATTCCTTCTCCCATGAAGCATCCTTAGGGACTGTGTTGGACCATTGTATAAGAAGCTCACAAACAGATTGGCCTTGATAAACAACTTGGCATGTATCTAAAATTGCCACTGGTACTTGGACAGGCTTGTTATACACAGCTAAGGGTGGAAGTGGATTAGAGACCACAGACATAGATCCAACACAAGGTTTCAACTGTGAAACATGAAATACTGGATGGATTTGACTTCTAGCAGGTAATTGCAATTCATAGGCAGTAGTTCCTAAGACACGAAGGACCTCAAAAGGACCAAAAAAATCTCTTAGCAAGTTTGTGATTAGATCTCCTTTCCACTGTTACTTGCCTGTAAGGCTGCAACCGAGCTCAAACTTTATCTCCTACCTGGAAAGAGCGCTCCTTGTGGTGTTTATCAAATTGGACTTTCATACGGTTTTGAGCCCTTTGCAAATGAAGCTTGAGTTGAGCTAAAACTTCATTTTGATGCTGTAACATGGTATCAATAGCTTCCAACTTAATCAAACCTCTAGGATAGAATGGTATCATGATAGGTGGTTTTCCAAAAACTGCCTGATAAGGAGACATAGCAATAGCTGAATGAATTGCGGAATTGTAGTGAAATTGGGCCCAACACAACAGATTACACCAGGAACGTGGTTGATCTCCACAAAAAGAACACAAATATTGCTCAAGGTATCTATTGGTTACTTCCGTTTGACCATCGGATTGTGGATGGTAGGAAGAGGTTGTTCTCAAAGTCGTACCACTCAACTTGAAGAGATGACTCCAAAATTTACTCAAAAAAATTTGATCCCTATCTTTGTAGAAAACAATTCCAGCACGGATCAACATATCAGGATCAGTATTTGGTTGATCCTTAAGCTTCTGATGCAGGGTCAATAGTTGAGGATCGGTTAAATTCTGAATTTTAATCTCAGATAACAAATCAAATTCTGGTTCTGATACTGAAACACATAAAGCTGCATCTTCATCAAACACCCGAGAGAGAGAATCAGCTACTGTATTAGCATGTCCTGGTTTATATTCGATATGAAAGGAATATCCCATCAATTTGCACAGATATTCTGTTGCTCAGCCGTGTGAATAGTCTGAGTGAGAAGCTCCTTGATACTTCTATGATCAGTACAAATGATAAATTTGGTCCCCAACAGATATTGTCTCCAACGTTTGACAGCAGTGGTAATAGCATATAGTTCTCTAATGTAAGTAGAAGAACTAATTAATCTTGGTCCTAACTTCTTACTGAAGTAGGCTATAGGATGTTCAGCTTGAAGTAATACAGCCCCTACACCATAATTTGATGCATATATATCAATAACAAACAGTTCCTCAAAGTTGGGCAGCCTCAAGACTGGTGTATGAGACATAGCCTCCTTGAGGTTTAAGAAAGCTGACTCAACTGTTTCTGACCAAGTAAAAGTAGTGGTTCCCTTTAATAAATTGGTTAAGGGAAGAGCCAAAGAAGCATAACCCTTGACAAATCTTCTATAGTATCCAGTTAATCCCAAGAAGCCCCTTAATTGCTTAATAGTTTTTGGAATCGGCCATTGAAGCATGGCTGAAATCTTTCTCGGATCAGCAAGGACACCATCAGCAGTGACTAAAGGCACATTTGTTGAGCTTAACTACAAAAGCATATTGTTGTAAGAATTGGAGAGCTATTTCCAAGTGCTGAACAAGCTCCTCAATAGTTTTACTGAAGACTAAGATGTCATCAAAAAAAACTATAATGAATCTTCTAATATAAGGCTTGAAGAGATGGTTCATGACTGATTGGAAAGTAGCAGGTGCATTTATCAAACCAAATGGCATGACCAAGAATTCAAAATGTCCATCATGTGTCCTAAATGCCATTTTATGAGTGTCAGCAGGTAGCATCCTAATCTGATGATAACCAGCCCTTAAATCCATCTTGGTGAATATAGTAGACCCCCTAGCTCATCCAATAGCTCATCAATAGTGGGAATAGGGAATCGATCTTTAATTGTGGCTGCATTAAGATCCCTATAATCAATACAAAGTCTCCATGAATTATCTTGTTTTTGAACTAACAAAACTGGGGAGGAGAAAGGACTTTGTGAATACTGTATGAAACCAGATGCCAATAGTTCAGAAACCTGCTATTCAATCTCAGATTTTTGGCTATGACCATATCTATATGGTTTGACATTAATAGGTTTGGTGCCTGCTGCCAAATGGATAGAATGATTTAACCCTCTGAATGGTGGCAAACCACTAGGTAGTGAGAACACTTGATGGAACTTCAATAAAATGGACCAAATAAGGGGATGGATATCAGCTTGCAGATCTAACAACTCAGGTATGATTGTAGCCTTTAGGGAAGAATCTGTTTCTGCATGCAAAGCATTACAACTTGCCCACTCCTGAGTAAGAAATGTATTCAAATTAGAAGT